ATTTATTGGTAGTCAGAGCAATGACATCATCACATGCTGTATAACCGATGGGAAACACTGTATGCTTGCGAGAGAATGACAAAAAAGGAAAATGATGTTTTAGTGTCATGAAAATAGTTTTGCTCTGTAACACCTTGAAATGGGCTCAAGGAACTATGTACAGTTCCTAGATGAAGTTTGAAAACCACTGCCTTAGAGAAAGTGTAGGCACCAGATATACATAAGAAATGTTCACAGTAGCGCTGTACATAACAGTAAAATCTAAAAATAACCTCAAACCCATCATCTGGTATACTCATTCTGTGAACTACTACAGAGCTGTAAAAAGGAATCAATTACAGTACGGTTATATTTGACAATATGAATGACTCTTGAGGAATAGAAGCAAGTCATGGAATAAATATTCAGCTTTTATTTAAAGTTTATAAAGAGGTAAATTTAGTAAGTGTACTGGAGAGGAACACATCATAGGTGGTAAAACTAATGAAAAGCAAGGGAATGAGTAACACCAACAAATGCAGAACGAGTAGGAACAGGAGGTTCTTTCTATTTCTTTGGCTGATTGTTGAGTACGTGGGTGTTTATTCATGTTTCATACATTTTGTACATATATTTCTAAATTAAAAAATAATAAACCAAGACAAAAAAAATTACGGGACTAGAACAAGTTATTGGATGAGAGAAAATTTAACAACAATGGAAGAAACCACAAAGCGGTAAGTTTGAATACATTCAAAAAATTAAAATGATATAAGAAAAGCCCAAACCAATTATAAAGTCATACTAATGAAAAAAAAAAAATTAAACTGCAAATGGACGTAAACATATGAAGAGTAGTTTATTTTCACTAGTAATCAAATGCAAACTAAAACAAAGAACCATCTGTTAAGAAATGATGACACTATGGCTAAGGCTGGGGTGACATTAACACTTTCATGAGTGCTAGCGCAACTTCTATAAAGGAGAGTTTAGCACACATATGAAATAAAGTGTCTTAAAAACACTATTAAAACTAGTCATTCTACTTTTAGACACAAGTCAAGGAAGTAATCTACTGCACCTAATATTGTATTAACAAAAAATTGAATCTAAATGTCCAAAAAGGGACATTTAAAAGAAAATTGTCTTTTATTTAGAGAACTAAATAGTAAATGGTAATATAAAATGTTGCTTACTTCATAAATATGAGGAAATAAGATCATGTCAGTAAAAAACAATGCAACACAAAATTACATACAAAATGGTCTTTTAACTATGTTTTTTTAAATGTACAGAAAAAAGACCAGAAAAACATCTATTGTTAGCAGAGCTATGTCTGGATGGTGAGCTTATGGGGGATTCTTCAGATGCTTTTGGTATCAGCCAAATTCATTTAAGTGTATTCATATACTAGTAAAGTCAGAAAACAAACCTGAAATAATAAAGCCCACAAAACTCTCAGTAGCTCTCCAAACTCACTAAAGCGCAAAGGCATCGCTTATGTGTCCCAGGCTCTCTACACTTCAGTGCCACTGTTCTTAGCCATGTGTGCTTACCCTCCCGAGGCTCCTCAAAGTGGACTTCCTACGGCTTCCTGAACATGCCCCCACACCTTCTCACTTCAGTGCTTTAGCTCACATTATCGGATCCGCCTGGATCACATTCTTCAATTGGACGAGTTCCACCATCTTCCAAAGTCCATGAGAAACACCATTTTATTCTGTGATTTTTTTTTCTAACTCTGTGCTAACCCAGCCGCCCCAACCATGTGCTTTTTCCTTGTCTTCGATGCTTACAGAAATGACTGTAGCACTTATTACTCTTGAAATAAGTTGCCTTATTTTAACAGTTCTGCTTTAAAGCCTCTACTAGATGCTAGTAGTTCAGGAAGGGGCTTTATCCTTCTTCAGCTCTTTCTCTAATATTGACACTCTTCTCCAGAATTAAGCACATACTATTTGAGGAACTGAATAAATTATTGTCACAAGGGATTAGTCTTGCTTTGGCCACAAGGAGGAAGAGAGAACAGGAAATGTTACTCATTTGAGACTCGGGATAAAATTTCTCACAGGAACGAGGAAAAAAAGGACCATTAATAATGCATGAAACAATAATAGACTTACATTTTATTCTTTTTGCCAGCTACAAATTTATCCATAATTGGTAACTTAATTTCTATGGAAACAAAAATGTGCTTGGAACTCCCAAGAATCTATCTCAAAGAAGTTTTTGGAGCAGAGCCAGCGCTTAAAGTGATATAATTGCAGATAGTATTTTCCTTTAGCAAAAACATCACGATTGCTTAAGTCTGCCTCAGCCTCTTCTGAAAGAAAATATTGTTAATGTGACAATAGAAAAGGTGAAATGAAAGAAACAGGGAAAGTGGATGTTCTAAACACCTGAGCTAAGTTTTCAAAAGTAAACTTGGAGAACATATAAATCGAAAATCCTTTTAATCACCTTCCTATTCTACGTTTATATGATGCTATATTTTAGGAAACAACTGAAACTTAAAGAGGAGAGAGTCTAAGGTTTTTATTTTTCTTTCCCACGCAAGTCTTTAAGTTAATATTTACAATGGCTGTGCAGATAACCCACCCACGTGCATTCACACATACCCAAGTGTGGATATTTAAAGACAAAACCCTCCCTATACTTAATGCCATACATTGCTCTACTTAGAAATAACGCTTGTCTTTGAGGCATATTGTGAGGGCTGTTCCTTGCTAGATTTTGGTGGGGGAGAGAAGCTGGTTAGGATAGCTCTTCAAACGAACTTAGACTAATCTCTGTATGTATATATTTGAGCAATGCTATATTCATCAATGAGTATGTATTGATGAGAACTGTGCTAGGTATACAGAGGTGAGTCTGACCTTGCCCTCAACGTCCACAGGTTGCCTCAGACCTATATATATTCTTCTGGAGGAAATGAACAATAAGTAAACAAATTAACAAGATAATTACAAGTTATGGTTAAGACCTGCAAAGGAGACAAAATAAACTAGATAGGGAAGCTATTTAATAAATCGGCAAAGGCCTCTCAAGACATTTAAACCGAGATAGAAAAGAAAAGGACCTGGCCATGAATACTACCTGGGCTAGAGCCTTCCAGACAGACAGAAATGGAAAGGTCCCGAGATGAAAACAGACTTTGTTTAAAGAATATAAAAGAGGCAGTGTGGCTGGTCATGTTTTGCAAACTGTGGGTCACATTTGTGGATTGTGATAACAATTTTGTGGGTCACTGCATCAGGTAGTCAGACACAGGTTTTCAAAATAAGTATTCTTTAACAAACTTTTGTTTCAGTTTTTTTGTATGCGTGTGTATTGGATTGCAACATAGTATATGTTTCTTACTGCCGGCAGTGATAAAATCTGTACTAAGTAAAGAAAGTAGGAACAGATGAGGATAGAGGAGGGGCGGGAAAAAACTAGGGCATGCATGGTCTTGTACTATAGGTCACCATAAAGAATTGGGATTTTTTTTTTTTCTAAAAGGAAGGTACTGAAGGGGTTCAAGCTGGGGAGTGACATGATCTAATTCATCAGGATTGTGCTGCCAAAGATTACTATAGTGAAATTCAGAAGACCTGAGCACCAGCCCTGGCCTCGCTACTAACCCCAGGGATTTTGGGAAAAATCAATGAATGTTTCTAACTTTTTTTCATTTTAAAAATAAGGTTGGAGCAAGATGACCTTTATCTTGTCTATTGCTACATTTCTACGACTATATTTTGATTCCTCGTTTGGGCATAAGTAAAAGACTACTGGGGAGACACCAGCTCATTAGGTCAAGTTCTAGGTTACTTAAAATATAAACTATGTAGCTATAAGAGTCACACTTGTATAGAAAGAAATTTTAGAATTATAGCTGGCTCCAGTAAAGAAATAGTACTAGAAATGAGATTTCTGGGCTGGAAGTGACTCAAGGGCTTTTGCGACTCGTGCAAAGTTAGGGATGTGAAGAAAATTGACAAGGAGAGATGAAAAGATTTCCTGACCTTGTTATTTGGAACAGATTTCCTTATTTTGGGTCATCAACCAGCATATAATCTAGGGAAGTTTAAAGTTGCAGGGAACCTCTGCTTAGCACTAAAGTCAAGCTTAACTCTTTTGACAGTAACCAAAATAATTCTTGAGGCTAAAGATTCATTGAGAGCCTACTGTATGCTAACCCCATGCTAGACAGTTTGATATACGCTTTCTCCTTCAATCCTCCTAATTATTCATATTTCACAGCTATGGAAACATGCTCAGAAAATACAAATAAGCTATTAAGTAGCAGGATCAGGATTAGAATAATATATACCAACAATTATTTTTAAAAAGTTACTGTATAAGAATTAAGTCATCAAATATTGGACAACTCAAGTATCTGTGACATCTGCAACCAGAATGTTCAAGCAATAAATCAATTCTGGACTCAGGTACTTTGCTAGGTACAGTGTAGGATGAAAAGATAAGAGCTTGATTTCCGGTCAAGATGGCAGAGTAAAATATTGTGTCAATTGTAATTGAAAATGATTTTTAAAAAGCTCCAGCACCGGAGGGCCTATTCTGTGGGTAGCATACTGAGTTGTATGATGTGGAATTAGGCAAAATATTCAAGGAATTTGGATCCCCAATTGAGTACACGAGAATAATCTTACGGCAATTTCCAGATTTATTTCCGAGATTGCTGCTGGTAAAAGGTTAGCAGAGGAACTGTTCGTTGGAAATTGTCACCAGTGCCATGGACTTAGAAAGTGTCCTCCAAGTTCCCTAAACTCGAGATGCTAGAAACTCACCGATTCCCAACTTACGTTAACCCTCTGGCAAGCAATGGACACATCACCTGCCCACTTGGAGCAGTGTGCATGTCATGTTACGAGAGGAAAATTTTGGAAACGTGCAAGGCATCGCCAATGTGAGAGTCGAAACAGTCCCTAACGCTTCCCACAGAGACACCCACAAACAGTCTAGCAAAGTTGAGGACGTTCATTGCACACCTGCCTTAACACCGAGAACGCGGTACCCACCTGTCACATACTCAGCTTCGAACCTCCGTCGGGTTTCAGAGATGAGCTTGGCTTTATTCTGGAAGGAAGACAAGAGAGGCTTAGACACCAAGTGCACCTTCCTGCTTTCCCTCAGCCCAGCCCACCTGAACCTGGGAGCTCAGCCCCCGGCCTGAGAGGATTCCGGGTCTGGGGAGGGGACCGGCAACGGTGCGGTGCGATCGACTCCTTACCTCCGCCATGGCCGCGGGCGTGGACATGATTGCCGTCGCTGTTACCACTTGCACAGCTGCCAGTCCCAATATCTCATCACGGGCCAGGCTGGCCCTGAGGTAGAGAGGGAAGAGCAGAGGTGGAGGCGGTCGCGTGATGCCGGAAGGCGGGCGGACGCGTTGCTGCGCCGCCCAATCCTATACAGCCGTCTGGGTCTGGAGGCGGGATCAGGCCCTCAACCTGGTTTTCCATTCGCTTCTTGTTCGGCTCCTCCCCTAACGTCCCCTGCACCGCGGGCCCACCCCCACCAGCGGTCGGATCGTAGGCGCTTCCCCCGCGGAACTCCACCCGAGCGATCTCCACCTGTCATCCGCTTTCACAACGTTTTCCGAAGGCTCCGCCTCCTCTGAGCTCAATGCGGCCTCCGGCCCGGCCCTCCCAGGATGCAGCGCGCTGGCGGGAGGTTTGGAGCCTCGGGACACTGCGCCCAGGTGGGCCGTTAGGAAAGTGGCAGCGGCAGGACGCGGGGTCCCGCGTGCCGAGGTAGGGCCAGCGTGTGTTCCTTTACCCAGCCTTAGCAAAGGGACAGCAGGGCTCCAGTTTCTCCCCTGTCCCGTAGTTGGGGGAGAGCGGGAAGGAAGCGGGCGTCCCGAGGCCTATGTCCATCATCCTGTGAAATATCTAGATTTTAACTAATTGACATACTCAGGGATATTTCGCTTGAAACTTCCTTTACCCCTGCAGCATCTTTCCCACTTGGAATGTGAGATACTTAACAAGGAGTATGTCTTTTAAGTATTTAGACAGAAACAATTATATAAAGTTAACAGATGTAAAACATCTTACATTATTAAGGTGATTGTTCTCAAAACAGGGGGCAGTTTTGCCTCCCAGGGCACATTTGGCAATGTCTGGAGACTTTTTTGTTGTCACAACCTGGCAGCAGCCTGCTACTGGTATCTGGTGGGTAGAAGCCGGGGATACTGCTAAACTCTACAATGCACAGGACAGCCTCACAATTTATCCAGTGCAAAATGTCAAAGTTGAGAAACATCGATTCATAACGTACTGGAAGCGCATTTTCTGGTTGTGGGTTAAAAAGTTGAAATCGTTTTTGCATTCAGTAATATTGCCTTTTAAAAATTGAAAGATACTCAAAACTACAAAGACATTGTAAGGAGAGCGGTCCTTATGCTTCCACCAGCCATAGTCAATCACGATTGACACTTGAGCGCCTTTGGCCTCAGACTTCTTTTTATGTTTACATTTTTATGGAGAAAAAATGGATATGTTGTTTAAAAATTTTTCGGGTGCATTCTTGATAGCTTTTTGCACAGGCATACCTACTTTTATTGTGCTTTGCTTTATTGTGCTTCACAGGTGCCGTGTTGGTTTTTTTTTTTTTTTTTACAAACTGAAGGCAAGACCTGTCACCAACAAAAAGATTACGGCTGGCTTTATTGTCATACTTCATTATGGTGTTCTGGAACCTACTTTTATTGTGCTTTGCTTTATTGTGCTTCACAGGTGCCGTGTTGGTTTTTTTTTTTTTTTTTTACAAACTGAAGGCAAGACCTGTCACCAACAAAAAGATTACGGCTGGCTTTATTGTCATACTTCATTATGGTGTTCTGGAACTGCACCCGCACTATCTCTGAGGTATGCTTGCATAGCTGGAATCTTCCTCTAAAGTCTCCCTACCCTGATTTCCATCCCCTTCTCTGGAATAAACAGTACTTACGGATGTGGCATGAATCTTTACAGCTTTGCTTTTTTTGGGAGGAGTGGGGGTGGGGGATGGGGTGGGCTGCCTGGGTTTGAATCCTGGCCCTGTCACTTCCTATCTGTAGGCCTCTGAGATGATCCTTAAATGCCATGCCTCAGTTTCCCCATCTATAGGATGAGATCATGGTGCATGTGGCACAAGTACGTCGTGAGGAATAAATGAGTGAGTCCAAGTTCCAACAGTACCTGGTACAGAGAAAGCACTTGAAATATAGCCATTGTAGATGAACAGAAAATATGTAATGTTTTATGTGTTCTGATTTACGTCAATAGTGTACTGCAGTATACGTTTTTCTGCAACTTAATTTTTCTCATTTTGTTTTTGAAATCTAGCCATGATGATATACATAGATCTAATTTATTCCTTTGAACTATGGTATGATATTCCATCTGTATTTATTCATTCCCCTATTGGTGTTCATTGAAGTTTTTACTATTTTTTTAATATTCCACATTACAGCATAGTGAACATTCTAGAGCGATGTCTTTGTGCATTATTATGTAGGATTATTTCTCTCGATTTATAACTAGAAATGAAATTGCCAGATATATGCATTTTCATTTACTGCCAAATTGCCTTCCACAGTCACCTCTCCCTTTAAGTGCTCATAATTATGTCCTAATCGATGGCTTGGCCTCCAGTCTCACCCCTGTCTGCAACACTGTCACCAGGATCTTTGTAATACAGAAGTATACTCTTATGATTGCTGTTTTTAAAATATTTCACTGGGTTATCATTGCTTAGAGAAAGTAAGAAGTCCTTAGTATGACTTAGAAAAACCTCCTTTAGCTTAATCTTTCCTACCTCTCTTAGTGGATCACCATTCCCCTACATTTACCTGCATTTCAGACAACGAGGCATTGTTAGAAAGGGGAAAAAGCAGACACTGATTCTGGGTAGGCCCCAACAAATGACTTCTAGTTATATAGGTAGAAAAAGATTTTAACAGTGGACCTATTCTATAGCCAAGTTAATTTACTTAGATAACAATGTCCTATGTGTTGAAAAAGGCACATCTATCAGTATTATGCTTGTAAGATTATGTTTAATATTAGGTGAAACTTTTAGTTAGCTATGTCTTAATTCAACCCCTTTTCCAAAGATATTTTGTATTAGTTGTAATCAGCGTGGTTTCTTAGAGACTTTTTTAGATTTCATCTGCAGATCATATATAGTGCACTTTTCGGATCTTCCTGAACCAGATCTTTAGTAACTTGAGGAGTTATGCAATTCACAGCACCCAAATGAATTCAGTAGCATTTAAAGAGAACATTGTTTATTTGTTTGTGAGGCTGGTGGAGAAGAGCGGATGAAGATGATATCATGTATTATTTTCTGGTTTGCTCACGTCTGTTTTCATTTTATGTATAAAGTATAGTCAACTTTGGTGTCTGGTAATATAAGAACAGGAAAAGCTCAAATTAATTATGTAGCATTTTATAAATACTCTGCTTTCACATCTCCCCTCCACCCCACTTCATTGCTGCAACGTGAGGTAAAATTTAACTGGTTTGAGTTACCTGTTTTTTCTGCAGCCACTGTTGTAAGGATATTAAAAAGTCAAATGACTTAAAATCCCAGTGCCCTGATAATCAGGGTTTGACTAATCAGGGCTTGTGTATATTGGTTTAAGAGCCTCTAAATTGAGCCTCAGTTTTATTTCCAGATTGTTTCTATTTAAAAAAATAAAATAAAACTACCACTTATTCCATAGGTTTAAAGGTTTATTTTATGAACATATGCTAAGAACATATGTAACCCTTAAAACAGATGTTGCATCAGTATAAAATAAAATAGATATACATGTATATCTGAATTTAATAAGCCTTGAGATTACAGAAAGTTTGAGGAAAAATTTATCTTCATAAATACAGTAATATATTAATCTAATTTTTAACTGTAAAGTGGCTCATTTAAATAACAGTGAAAATATACATGTTTTTGAAATAGTATTTAAAAACAAAAAATGACCTTTCATATAAAAGTCATTTGTGTTTTTAAATCTATTTGAGTCTAAGTACATGAAAATAAGTTTGCTTTCTGCTTAGAGCTCATGCTAAAAACATGTTGGGTTAGGGTTGAAGCAGGGCCTTGAATACCATGCTATACTTTATAGCAGTGGTTGGCAACATTTTACCTCTACATCATGCATATGTCAAATACACAGCATTTAGCATCTATCTTTCCAAGTAGTAACTGAAGGATCATAGGCCTGTCGAGAAGGGCAATGTGTGTGTGCACGGTTTTAGAATGAAGAGGCAATTACCAGATCAAGTTTGTGTTTTAGAACAACTGAGGCAGCATAAATAAACTGATGTGTTGGAGGCGAGAGAGACTAGAGGAAGAGCAAGCCTGAAGCTTTTATTTTACCTCAGCCTAAGTGAGAGATGAAAGCCTGAACTATGGTCATGGCAATGGGAACAGAGAGCTGGAAGATGAATATTTCTAAGTTAAGGAGCTAGTTGAAAGCATTAAGGGAGCAGAATGCAAGGGACCAGATTTTCCTAAGTTCTAACTGTCAGGATGCAACATAACATACTGTAAAGGTTAGGAAAGGGAGAGGTTCTACTGACCTTTTAGCAATCAGATTCTCCTTGCTTCTGTCACACTCAACATTGGTGAACCAGAGCATTGTGTTGATTAAACATTAGTTGTGACATTTAATATTAAAATAACAAAATCCTTTACCAGACAGAAGTTAATTTTGGTAGTTTTTATTATTATTAAGAAATCTGCACAACTTTTTTGAGTAGGTAGCAAAAAGCAATGTGTTCTTAGATCTTTGTCTCAATATATCATTTTATGCTCTTCCTTTTTCAGAAATCTTCTAAGAAGCCTGACATGTCTCTGGGAAATTTGAAATACAGAAATTATTATTCATACATTTTGATGTAATATAACTAATATGTTTATTTCCTTCAAAGTAAAAGGTTCATAAGTAGAAGCCACACCTTTGATTTACCTAACTTTACTGCGGAAGCTGAATCTACTTTGTGTGTCCTAGATCTTTGACATTAATCGCCTAACAACAAAGCAGTAAGCCAGTGACTTCTGCTAATTTATGTTATGATACAATATCACCAGTTACTTCAGGTCATAGGTTTCATGAAATTCTCAAAAAGCATATCATCAGTTTAATTTTAAAAAATGCCATAGAAGAAAGTATTTATTTCTGCATAACAAATTACTCCCAAACTTAGCAGCTTAAAGCAACAAACATTTATGATCTCAAAATTTCTGAGGATTAAGATTTTGGGAACAGCTTTGCTGGGTGGTTCTGGCTCATGATCTCTCCAAGGGGCCAAGTCATCTACAGGCTTGGCTAGAGCTAGAGGATCTGACCCCAAGAAGGCTCACCCACATAGCTATTGGCAAGAGGCCTCAGTCCCTCACTGTCTTTTGGCAGGAAGCCACAGTTCCTGGCTATGTGCACATCTCTACACAGCTGCTCGAGGGTCTTAATGATATAGCAGGTGGCTTTCCCCAGTGGAGGTGATTAAAGGAAGAGGTCAACTAGGAAGCCATGGTACTCTATGACCCAGTCTTTCAAGTCATGCACTGTCATTTCTGCCACATTCTATTGGCTAGAAGTAAGTCATAATGACCAGACCTCACTCAAGGAGATAATTAAATGCCAGTTCTTGATGGAAAGAGTTTCAAAGAATTTGTGAACGTTTTAAGACCACAAGTAATGTGTTTGGAAATAAGATGTGGCATCTCCAATTTGAAAGTAGATGCTGACTAGTCTACTTTTAAGTAAAATTGCCTCCAAATCAAAATCATTTCTTTAAAATGCAACTTACATTAACTTAAACTTATAAATCATGGTTCAGTGATACTTTTTTTCTAATTGGGCTATTGGTAGGTGTTTATAATCAAAGAACAAAACCTAAGCCTTTAGAGTTTGCTTCTCATTCAGCAGAGGAAAACAATATTATTTACTTGTAAATAACCTGATTTTCATTTATTTCTGAAATAGTTGAATTTCCTGGTGTAATGATCCACAGGTAGGAGAAAAGAGAATATGAGTTAGAATTGTTGATAGTGGAGAGGGACCTTTCAGCATTCACAAACTGTTATGTATGCAACCATTCTTCTGACGTTTCTAAGGTTAGGTACTATATAAACCAGAGCCAGCCATAATGGTGATGATGATGGTGATAATGATGATGATGACGACGATAATGATAGTAGCTAACCTTTATCGAGCACTTTCTGTGTGCCAGGTCCTAGTTCAAGTGAGCTATATTAGTTAATTCCTTGTGAGCTAGATACTGTTACATAGATGTGGATGAGAGGTACAAAGGGGTTCAGTCACTTGCTCTAAGTCATCCGCATAGTAAAAGGCAGACTCAGCATTCACGTGTCTGGCTAAGCCTTCAACAACTGTTAAAGGAGAGACTCAGCAAATATAGCCACCGAATAAAGAGATCAACATCTTTTTCTTGTATGTTCAGTGAGGAGGGTGTTTCTTCGCTCTTTGTTCTACTTTACTAATTCTCTCGTTGCCTTTCTTATAACCAGTGTTCCGAATAAGGGAATGCATGCCAGGACAGTGTGGTCGTTACAGTGTAGGCTCAGGAATCAGGGGGCCCCTCTTCCAAACCTAGTGGTATTGCAGATTAGTGTTGTCACCTGGGAAAATTTTCTGAGTTTTGTTCAAATAAGGTTTTGTTTAAAAGATGAGGTAATAAAAATTCTTACTTCAAAAGAATAGTAGTAAGCATTAAATGAAATAATGCATGTATTGTACCTGGCATATAATAAGCATAAATAATTGATAGCTATTTCATTTTGTGTTCATTGCAGTGGTATGATATTACTAATCCTCTATTTTTTCTTTGAATAACAATAGCGACTTACTTAGGTTGTAAAACTGCATTGTTCTTTCAAAGTAAGATTTAAGATTTGTTACTTGTACAGAGATTTTTTTCAAGCCATGTTATAGCATCTCCCGTTTTCCTTTCTGGGTCTTCACTTCGGTCGTAGTCTGACTTAGCTCCTCTTTCTGGGAAGCAGGGAACCTGTGCCTGGGCTCTGGGAGGGGTCTAACTCGAATCACTGTCATTGTAAAGAAAATGGGGGAACCAGGTTGGGTCAGTAGGTTTGAGAGACAGAAGTGGAACCCTTAAGAAATTCCCTGAGCCAGAAAGAATGTCTGCAGTCACTTTAATAGTGCACCTAACAGCTTTCCATAGTTGCTGTTAACACATTCAGTTATCGTTCGTGATGTGGTTGTTTGCATTCTTTGCAAACTGTTTAAGGGCTATACAGAAATAATACTTGGGATATGTTTTTTTAATAGGTGTGACATTAAGATAGCATAAAAAGCGTAAAAATGTTAACCTTATAAAATTTATAGTTACCCATTTAATGATTCTCTTAACAAAAACGTGTTTTCAACTCTCCCTACTTGATGGCAGTTTTCCTCATTTCATTTTTAGGTTTAAAATCATCGAATGGAATCAATTTGCATTCGAAAATTGGACCAACACAAAGACTTGACATTGTGGAATGACCAGCAAACAAGCAATGTCATCTAAAGAACAAGAAAGGCTCCTGTGTTGTAATGGGGAAGTCCTTGTTTTTCGATTGTCTAAAGGGAGTTTCTCACATAAAGGGCCTGCAGAGATACCAGTATTACATGTCAGAAGAATGGTATTTGACAGAGGAACAAGAACATTTGTTCAGAAGTCCACTGGATTCTTTAGCATAAAGGAAGAAAACTCTTATTTAAAAATTTTGTGTTGCGACTGTGTGTCGGATTTCAGAACTGGAATGAACCTCCCTTATATTGTGATACAGTGCAATGAAAAGAATAATGTTTTCAAATATTTTCTACTATTTCTTCACAGTACCAATAAATTTGAAAAGCGTTTGAGTTTTAGACTAGGCCATGAGTTGAAGGATGGCATAAGGGTCTTTAACGGCCCTTTAATTTTATGGAAACATGTCAAAACATTCTTCTATATCTCTTCCCAAACTGACAAAGTTATCACTCTGTCCTTTAACTTTTCTTCTATTGAGTGGGTAGGGGAGATTGGAAATCTAGGTGTGGTTTTATTAGGACAAAAGAAATGTTGTTTATCTGAGGAAGAATGCACCCCAAAGCCTTCAAAATCAGATTACGCATTTTGGAATACCAAGTTTTGTGTATACTCCCTTGAAAGTGAAGAATTAATAAGTGATACATACATTATCCCTCCTGCTTATAGCAGTGTGATAACTTGTGTGCATGTCTGTGCAACTGACATTGTCAACAGCCAGCTAAGAATGTCTCTGATTGCCCTTACTCGAAAAGACCAGCTGATTTCATTCCAAAATGGCACTCCTAAAAGTGTGTGCCAGCTGCCGTTTGCAGATCCTCGTGCAGTTCAACTTATGGATTCAGGCGGAGACCTCTTTTTCCTTGTATCCTTTAGGTCCAGTGAAGTTTGTGCTGTTTGGGAAAAGAACTTTCAGGTACAGTACTTATAAGTACACTCAGTTGGTATAGTCTTAGACCTATTAAACGTTCTTGCACGTCCTAGGGTTCACCTGGAGGGGTCTCATTAGCCACATGAATTTTTAGTGCTGCACTTATAAGAAAATTATATATATTACATTATTTTTTCTTAAAGTTATCTACTACCTGACAAAGGTTTTGCATTGCCATTTTTGACTTATAAAAAGCTTTTGAGTTGTTTGGAAATATATAACTATAGTTATTATATATTTGTCTTTTAATTTATCTCAATTTTTATTATTGTAATGACTAGGTGTGTATTTTTACTTAGAATATGATTATTAGTAGTTTGACTTCATAAGCCTTAGGAAACTCAAATCAGTTCAACTTTTTAAAAGTTGGTAATTTTCTATTTCAACTTAAAATGAAATCTAGAGGAATTCCTTGAAATATATCATTGTGTCTTAAGAAGACAAATAATTGTTCTCCAGAGACAAGTGGTAACTATTAATTTTTCTAAAAACTATTGCTTAGAGAATTTTGTTATATTTTGAAACTCAGAGTTGTCCTTAACAGCAGTTACATTTTATCCACATATACAGTAGTTGCATCTTTTAGTGTAATTTAGTGTAAGGTTCGGAAATTACTTTAAAATACTGGTATTGAGTGTTCGATAACAGGTTAAAAGTGCAGAAAACAAATAGGAAGTTGGAGGTTTGTAACTGGGTATATCCACCAATAATATTTCTCTGACCCCAATGTTTTGGTAATACTACATCCTCTGGTCATTCAGTCATGGGATGTCAGTGTTTATAATTCAAGATAAATAATCATTACCTGTCAGAAATGTCTCTTCCAAAAGTAGTTTTTTAGTACATTAGTACATCATACAACTTTTTAAGTTCTTGTGCTACTTTAAAAAAAAGCAGATACTTTGTGTGCTCTATCTATTTTAATTAGAAGCTCTCAATTAAAATTTCTATCATATATTATCACTTCAATAGGGAACATTGATAAATATTTTAGAAAGTTTGAGAGGCATTTTTTTTAATGTGAATCATTGCTTTGTGTATGGGTGTTTGTGCGTGTGTGTGTGGAAATGTCAGGTAGAAATTGTATTTTATCAGGCTTTGCCTTGTAAATTACTTTTATATTAATAGGGGTTATAGAACCATATTCAACCTCTCTAACACATAGAGGATTTAAATACTCAAAAGGAAAATACTTTGAAAACTATCTTTTATTTTGAAAGCAATCTTTTAAAAGCACATTGTACTTTTATTTGAAAGTTATTTGGAAGGTAATATTTTCTGTCTTTTTTCTTTTCTTTTCAACAAATGGTTGGGGGAAACATCTGATATAGCCTATAATCCTTATTGGGATCAGGGTAGCGGAAAGAACACACTTAACCTGAGTTTGAATCCCACCTGAGCCAATTACTAGTGTTACCTTATTTGTGAACTCATTTTCCATCTTTATGAAATTGAAATCGTCCTGCCTCTAGGCAGGATGTTATTAAATGAAATGACATTGTAAAGTACTTGGCACATAGGAGAAGCTCAGTATGTGTTAGCTATTATTATATTAGACAAGGGCTAAGGCTGACGTCAGAGACACGAACCTACCCAAGGTCCCTTATTCACCTGGATAAGGAAAAACAACTCCTCTGTGCCTCGTTAATTCTGTGGACTATAGTCCTCTCTCCCTTGAAGTGGGTTGCCTACTTGGACACTGTAGAGCCCTGCCACTAACACATTACCCACACCAGGAGACTATGTCACTCTCTGTAAGTGGGCCTGTAACTGTTGGCCTCCCCGCCTTGAAATTGTGTCCTGGAGTTCTTTATGGTGGACCACCATCCTTTCCACATGTTACTTACCTGAGTCCCTACTGTCATACCCCTTAAACTACCTCTCCAGGGATTCTGTACTTCTAAACTCTTCTCAAATGCCCTGTAATGAAAGCTCTGGAGTTACACCTTGATATCTGCCAAGTTAAGTGCTTCTAAGTTGCAACAGTAACCTTGACACTCTTGGAGTTTTGCAGCTCCTGCCTCTATCTTGGTGTTGCATTTATACTAACCTAGTTTTAAAAAATTGGATATAGCTTAGGGTAAGACATTTGATTACTTTTTTAAAAAAAGGAATGAAGGCTAAGAATCTACAAATAAAGGGAGAGGAGAGTAAGGGAAGTAATTGTATTTGAGCGAATACACGTAGTTTAGCAGTTAGACAAAAGTAAATATAGCAGGTTTTACAGTTGAATGGAACATACACTCTCAAGGGAAAAAATATTCTAACTGAGTTCTGAGAGGAATCTACTGTTTGTGGTATTATGTAAGAGGTTTTGAATAATAAAATGACTACATTATTGGAAAATAAAATGATGTCTGTGGTAGCAGTTTTCCCCCAAAATGGAGTTAAAAAACACCAGTCTTTCTTTGGGTTAGCTATGGATTTATCCAACTACCCTTTACCTACCTCATTCCATAAAGGAATTAAGGCAGCCTTACAAAGATAGGTTAAATACAAACAAGCATAAATTAGATCAAGTAATGAAAATCAAGGTTAGTGTGTCCTCAGAACAGCCCTCCTGGGTACAATGTTTTATAGGACTTGAAACAGCTGAGTCTAGAGAAATGCTTGAATAGCTTTTCTTAGGCTTTCTCTCTTGAGCAGAAATTGTCGGCAAGTTTTGGCAAGATTCTATGTAGCAGGCATTTTAAAATTGAGATCATTGTCAGATATACCTGAATCAGATATTGGTGTGTTATACAAAGAGGTCAACATGTTTTAGAGGTGTTCTGTCTGATATGGTAGCCACTAGCCAAGTGTGGTTATTCAACATTTAAAATTTGGCTAGTCTGAACTAGAAAGTGCGAGAAATGTCAAATACACACCAGATTTCAAAGACTTAGTAAAAAATGAAAGTGAAGTATCTCAGTAATTTTTATTGATTATATTGAATTGAAGCGATAATGGATAGATTGGGTTAATAAATAAAACATAAGTTACTTTTACCTTTTTCTTTTCACTGCTTCTAGAGAATTTTCTTGTATTGGCTACTGGAAAATTTAAAAAATATATATATATGCTTTGCACTTGTGGCTTGCCTATATTTTTTTTGGACAGCATCGTCCTAGAGCTATAGATTGCAGATGTATATGTGCTTTCATGAGTGCACAGCTCAATGGCGTTTGCATGCTGAGCACATTCTTATTACCATCTCTTCGTATAGTTCATTATACTCCGTGATACTCACAGGGGATTGGGAGGAAGAGAGTATATGGGTTTACAAATAAGCTGCTTCCCTGCATAAGTGAAAAATCACTGCTTTGGAAATTATTCTTAGAGGGGAAAGATTGATATTTGGTTATATAGATTGAGGAGTCTTACTTATAGTCTTGCTCTAAGGCAAACCACCCTCCTTTATCACCTAGATGATGTATCTGTGCTTCTGGGATTCTGAGTGGGAGTTTTATCTTTTTTGCCTGAGAGGGAAGGGTTATCTATCTGATCCTCATGGTTGGTTTTCCGGAGGATTTATAGACCTTTAAGTTGTCTTCTATTTTAATCTTGGGGTCTCACGTTCTAGTATAAATTGGTCAGATCGTTTCATTAGGCGAGGATGGTTCTAGGTGCCCCACTATTAAGATCCTTCCCCTTTTGTGGCCCTGATAACAGCTATGTTCTCCCCAACCAGGATTTAGGATATTAAGTTCGTGTTGACTCTTAAAGGTATTCTGCTTTGAGAGCTCTTAAAATGTATACTAGTACCTTCTATTTACCTAATGCAACTGAATTCCTTGTCTGATCATAAATACATATCCACCAAAGCTGCGGGAGTGAGAGCCATCCTTAAATTAACCGTGTTAGAGAAAGAAGCTTTACTGGAGTTACTCATGAGAAATGTTAGAATTTCCAAAATATTTAGTCATGAGAAGTATTAGAACTTATAAATTATAATACAATTTGAAGATAGAAATCAACTACATTACAATTCCTGGACAAACACTGATGAAATATTAAATTTTAAGTAACTTGCTATTTATAAAGTTAGAACTCCTTATATTTTCTGATCCCTCGGTATGTTTTTTAGATTTTAGTGTTTATACTACCATTTCTCATTGTTTATAAGATTGAAGGTAACGAGGTACAGCTACATGCAACAGAAGAATTTCACAACTGATTTTTTTCCTTCTCTATTCCTTCTTTACCACTCTTTCAGGTTGCTGCAAAATGGGAAAAAATTAGCTCAGTGCTAATAGATGACTTTGTTGGAACTGGAACTGATCAAGTACTGCTGCTTTTTAAGGACTCTTTAGATTCAGATTGCCTGAGTTCATTTAAAATAACAGATCTTGACAACATGAACTATTCAGTAAGTTCTGTTTACTTTTTATACATTAAGAACGATTTTAGAAAATCCGAGTGCTTTAAAGCTTTTAACCACTGTTTAAATATTTGTGATTTCATACTTAAACTTTTTGAACTTAAATATACATGGATTGAATCTTTTAAAAATGCAGTCACATGCCTCAATGATAGGGATTCGTACTGAGAAATGCATCCTTAGGTGATTCTTTCATCGTGCGAATGTCATACAGTGCACTCACACAAACCCAGATGGTCTAGCCTACTACATACCCAGGCTACGTGGACTAACCTATTGCTCCCAGCCTCCAAGTCTGTACAGCATGTTACTGTACTGAATACTTTGGCCAGTTGTAACACAATTTTAAGTATTTGTGTATCTAAACATATCTAAACGTAGAAAAGGTACAGTAAAAATAGGGTATAAAAGATAAAAAAAATATGGTATACCTATTAGGGCACTTACTATGAATGGAGCTTGCAGGACTGGGAGTTGCTCTGGGTGAGTCAGTGAGTGAGGGTGAGTGAATGTGAAGGCCTCGGACATGACTGTACATTACTGCTGACTTTATAAAAACTGTACACTTAAGCTACACTAAATGTATCAAATAACATGAGATTAAATCAAGCCCAAGAGAAAATGATGCTATCAAGAGACGAGGCAAACTTGAAATCTGTGCGGCTGCTGCTCATATAATATGACACAGTATTTTATAGCAAACTTGTCTTTATAAGTAGAAAGAGTGGACCCTGAAATAACGATTAAAATCTAGTATAGTAAATACATAAACCAGTAACAGTCATTTATTATCATCATCAAGTATTATGTACTTTACATAATTATATGTTCTATACTTTTACACTATTGGCAGCGTAGTAGGTTTGTTTATGTCAGCATCACCACAAACACATGAGTAATGCATTGTGCTACGATGTTATGATAGGTCCAACATCACTAGGCAGTGGGAAATTTTCAGGTCCATTGTAGTCTTATGGGACCACAGTTGTATACGTGTCTGTCGCTGACTGAAATGTCATTTAGTGCATGACTGTATGCATTGAATCTCCTTTCAACAGATGTTATTCAAATTGACAATGCTTTTGAATATAGTATATCTGGTTGTCACCGAAGTGATGAGTACTGAAAATTAACTTATTGTTGCTTCTGCAAATCGTTTTCTATCAACAAACAATGTTGGATTGATTAAGGAATAAAATGAAATGAAACTGCTGTATTAAAACAGGCAACAGTTCATAATATTTTAAGATCTTGGGCATAAGGGAAATAATACCCCTGAAATTTCAGATCTATGTAAAATGCTTCTGAGCCTCAGTTGTTTTCATTAGTAAACTGAGGATAATTCTTATTTCCTCTAGTTACAGGGTTTTAGGATTTTATAAAAATCTAGTAAGCTGATACTTTTTGAAGCAGTATATAAATGTTACATGGGCGGTAATAGTGGTATGATTTGCGTTAGTTACAAGATGGGGAAAATATATATTGTCTTTTATGTAATAGATGTAACATGGAGAACAGCCCTTGGGCTGCATAAACTTTAATTGTATATTGTTAATCTGAAGAATTTTCAATTTGTTTCAACATTTCAGTTTTAGTGTATTTTTTATTTATTAGAGCGAAACACCGGATTGTAATGAAGATGACTTATTTGAAGACAAACAAGATAAGCTGGTTCCAGCTCTGGAAAGAAGAGTGAAAGTTAGTGTCTATGTTTGCTTTTTGCTTTTGCTTTTGCTTTTTTGCATTAGTGCTATTTTAAATGAAGGAAAGAACATTGAAAGAAAGGTCCTTAAAGTGTGAGCAACTCAGTGATTGGAGAAAAAATGGTATTTAAAGGATCTTTTTACCTTTTTCGTAGCTCTGTAAAAACTATTATGACATTACTCATAAATGCGTCATCTGAAACTGATGCCTTTTTGTAGTAAGATTGTGTAAATTTAATAAGCCTCAGATAAAATATAGGAAGCTCACTTTTGAAAACACATTCTTTCTGGTCTATAACATTGGTATCCCACAGTATGACTTTTAAAGGAGCAGCAAATATGATGATTCATAACATATTCCAGACTTGAACAGTTTACCCTCAGGTTTTTCATACAGCGCTCTCTAAAAGACAGTTTTTGGTTTTTTCCTAATGTACAAAGGTAACCACATTCCCTGTAAAATACTGAGACCAGGCAAGGAAATATTAAACTATAAAAAGAAACTAACAATCGTCTTTGATTCCGCTACTGAGATATAACCAATTTTAAACATTTGGCACAATAAATGTGATTATAAGCTGTGCGTACTTTTGTAACCTGCCTTTTTTCATTCATAAAAATTTCAAATATTCAGAAAAGTTCAAAGACTAGTACAGTGATATCTGTAGTCTCCACATAGATTCAACTATTGTTATGTTTTTAAAAATCATATTTGTGTCATCTGTTTGTGCTTGTGTACATGTACATTTTTGCAGAATCATTTGGAAGTTGCAAATATTATGTTTCACTCTTAGGTATTTTAGCAAGAATCTCCTAAAAGTAAGGACGTTCTCCTATGTAACCACAATGACATCATTGTACTTAGGAAATTAATAATAATCCCTTAATCTTATTTACTATCCAGTTCATATTTAGATGCCTTTAACTGCCACAAAAATGTTTTTGTACAGCTACTTTTTTCAAGGATCCATTCAAAGTTTATACTTGCATTTGATTATTATATCTCATTGGTGTTTTTATTTCAAATAATGCCCTCTCCCTTATTTTTTAAATGGCACTTATGAGGAGGCTAGGCCACTTGTCCCTCCTTTTGGATTTGTCTGATTCCTGGTGGTATCATTTAACTTTTTTGTCTATCCCTGGAAAATTTCTTCTGTTAAAGGCCAGATAGTAAATGTTTATACTTTGCAGGACCTTTTATACTTATTCTGCAGCTATTTTAATTATTAAAGTGAATTCACTAAGTAACTATTGAACACGTACTGGATATGAATGTGAACAGCAAGTAACTAAAATATCATAGTGGACATAGAACCATAAAGGAAAAGATTGATTACATTGAAAACTTTTATACTCTGAACAAAGTAAAATAAATAAAAAAATTATGTATAAGGAAATTATAACACATGCCAAAGGATTCATTTTCATAATATAAATATGCATTCTGAAACAATATTTTTGAGAATGTAAGGTGGCCCAACCCCCTCAGAGGGAAACTTGTTACAGCTACTAAAATATGAATTGCACACACATTTGTTTTTACTCTTGCAGTTTCACTTATAGAAATCTGTTCTGCGGATATACTTGCACATGTAAGCAATATTGATTATACAGGAACATTTATGTAGTACTTATAAATAGCAAAATCAGCCAGAATTGAAATATCCATAATTAGGAGTAGAGTAAATAAATTATGCTATCCCTGAACCATGAAATACTATGCTGTTGTCAAAAAGAATAAGGTAGATCTTTATACCTATTTAGAAATGATGCCAAAATAATTTAATTTACGGAAGCATGACTTTCAGAAATCCCACTTCTGGTAATATGTCACCTAATTTATTTGGACCAACTCTCTTGATAAAGCAACTTAAAATGATAGTTAAAATATGTTTTTAAAATCTTAAATGCTTCAAAAAGCTGAAAATATAAGAAAAAATTATCAGGCCAAACTCCTAAACAGTGGAACCCAGAGAAATAAGTAGAATACTGATGCTACTCTTGGCCCAGGAGCATGTATATTTAACCTAAAACAGTAGTGTTCTGGGTACCTGGCAGAAACAAATGTAAAATCCTCTCTCAAAACACAAATTTACCCTAGGCCTCATATAAATCTCACAAATAATTTTTCAAGGAAAATGACCCACTTACAGAATAACCAAGCACATAAAGAAACAAAAGCTTTATGGATAATTATTCATAGAAAATAAACAGCATTTCTATAAACTAAAAATACATTGAAATTTAAAAATCCCTAATTCAACAGATGAATTTAACAGTTGACTGAAAGAGATGTAGAGGGAATTAGCAAATCAGACTACATTAGAAAAATTATCCAGAAGGTAGCACAGAAGCAATGAAGGAAAATATGAAAGGAACATAGAAGTTGGAGACACTGGAAGTAGGGAATAAAAAATAGTCGAGTGTCCATTTTGTCTCAGGTATCCGTTTGTTATCACTAGCTCTTAATGTGAATAAAAATATTTCCAAGTGTTAGAAGGCCTTTTAGAGATGAACAAGTCTGTTCTCACCCATTTTACATGTGAGGAAACAAATGGAGAGGAAGAAAGGTTAAGTTACTTGCAGAGGAATAACTAGAGTCCATTTCACTGTTCTTTCCACCATGCAGTTTGTTGTCCAACAACTCAGTTGTTGGAGGGGAAATGGGGAGACCAGGACTTCGGAGAAACTCGTGCGCATGTGCAGAAACGTTCACAGCGGCATTGTTTGTAATACTTCACAGCTGGATGTAACCCAGGTGTCCATCCACAGCAGACTGGAGAACTAAACTGGGATATAGTCATATGATGGAATACCATAGAGCAGCGGTCCCCAACCTTTTTGGCCCCAGGGACCGGTGTTCCTATGAGAATCTCATGCCTGATGACCTGAGGTGGAGCTGAGGCTGTGATGCTAGGGCTGGGGAGTGGCTGCAGATATAGATGAAGCTTCACCACTCACCTGCTGTGCGGCCCGGTTCTTAACAGGCCACAGACCAGTACCCGTCCACAGCCCAGGGGTTGGGGACCCCTGCTATAGAGCAATGAAAGGCATGAACTACAGCTACGAGTGACAAATGGATGACTCTAAAACCTAATACATACAGAATGATTCCATTTATAAAAAATTCAGAAGCAAAACAAAAAACTAAATATTTTTTAGAAGTTCATATAATGATGGTAAAATTATGAAGACAAACAAGGAAGTTATCTTATTAAAGGCCAGGGTAGTGTTGCCTCTAGTGGAGAAAGAGGTTTGTGATTGGGGAGTGCTTCTTTTGACTCGGGTGTGGTTCCATGGGTATCTACTGCATTGTTAGCCCATAAACTGTTGTATTATGCACCCTTCTGCATGCCTGAGTTCACAATTAAGGGGGAAAGAGCAAGGCTTGGTATTATGCTCCTGTATTTGGTTTTGTGTGAGTTTTGTTTGTATGTTTGTTGGAAGGACAAGGAATGCATTCCTTAACATATACTTGGAAAAATTCTGGAGAGGTAAGCAATCTGTTGTCTGTGTAGATGAGATTGAGGGTCTAGGAGGGGAAGGTGAGATATATTTGTACATTAATTCAGTTTCTTACCACGTGCTCATTTTCGTAGTTTTATAACAAAACTTCATAACATACACTACTTAAATGATCTGGAAATTCACTATTTAGTCCTAGAGTAGGAGGTATCTTGAGAGGAGTAGGGAAGAGAGAACACAGATCATTTCTGAGGGGGTTCTCATTTTCAGTCTACCCACATATTCTTCTCTTCACTACCTACCCCTTCAGCAGTCTCAGATTTGCTCCACCTCCGATGGGCATATGTCCCTTCCTGTAAATTATGACTTACTGAGCAAATAAATGATGGAGTGTGAATGATGTGGAGCCCACAGAACTGGGTCAACATGTGAAGTTTTAAAATATTAGCTAGACACTTTACATACTTTGTGCAATTAGGTAAAATATGATTCCATCTTAACTCTCTAACTTCTATTCATTGATAAAAAGAAAAATAATTTACTTGCCTTAAATGTAATTTAAAAGAAAGGAATTCAAAAAAAAACAGGGTGCATTTTTTTTCAATCTAGAAAAACATATTAAAATCTGGGTTAATATTTAAAGAATCTCAGATATTCATCTGAAATGAAACAGGTTCAATGAAGTGACTCTAAATTTTTAGTAGCAAAATGTATTTCATGAATGTTTCATTCTTAGTACTGAAATCTATCTGGTACAATAAAAGGAACGGATTATTCTCTGCCCTGTTCAGACTCTCCCCACCGCCACTGCCCCCCGCCCCCCGCCCGCGCCCTAGTAGTTAATTAAGAGTAAATCCTAGCACTGAGTTTATTAGGAAAAAAAAAACTTGTGACAGTTCGGAGGCCATTATATGTTATTTTAAAAATATTGCTATAAAGATTATAGGAACAGTATTTCAAATAGTATCAAGTTAAAAGTGACCATTTCTATTTATAATGATGTCTTTATTTTTTTGAAGCAGAAATTATTTGAACAACGAGCAAAACACCTTTCTTATGGGTGTAGGAGTATTGATAGCCTTTGATTTTTATTCATATTGATCGATTACTTAACTCAGCGATGTAACAGATGCTAATACATTTCCCTTCTCTCAATTTGATACGTAAGATCTATTGCAGTTACTTGCCATGTTATTTTTTTTTGCAATTAGAGACTTAAAATATATAAATAAAATAGTTTTGCTCTGAGAAATATTCTCTGCTTTTCTATAGAAAAATGAATTAAGCAGATTTGGAGAAAGTACTTCCTGAATTAATGGTATGTCAGGTTTCATTTGAAATTATTTCTCTGACAATGATTTTTCTTTCTGCTTTACAGGTTGGATTGGCTTCTATTCAGGAATTACAGCAGCATCTCTTACTTAAGGAAAAAATTATTTTAAAATCCTCCAAAGCTTTTATGAACCTGGTTCAAGGGAAAGAAGATAGTACATCAAGTGCAGAGGAGGTAAAGTTAATCATGTGATGATTTTACCATTTTATGAATTGAAAGCTACTGAAGAGTTACTAAATTGGAGTATTGGAATATATTAGCAGATACTCAATAGATCAAGAAGCAAAGTGGCAGGGATTATAATGGTGGGCTTTTATGACATTCAAAGGTATTTGATTAAGAAGCCAATATTTTACCAATTTGCAAATTATTCTTATTCTGTAATATGTTAGAATGTCAGTTATCAGGAACCTTGAGGAGTAAGTCTTTTGGTTTAAAGAAGATTTAACTAAACATTATTATTTGTATAGTTTGAATAGAAATTGCTCCTAAGTGAATTATATATTTTTCGACGTCTTAAACTGAGCATTGTTTAACTGTACATTGATGATGACAGAATTTTATCATTAATATAGCAGTTGTTTTTTTAATCTCCCGCACAGTTAAAATTTAAGGATATTTATTCTTACTAGTTAATGTCCCTAAATTAGTCTGATTTTTTATTCCTTATGTCTGCTTTTTATAAATTTACTCTCATTTTCCTTGTGGTTTACCATCATAAAAACCTCTTCAGGTACCTTGCAGTTATTTATGTCAGTCCAGTAATGTAGAAAGTTAACAAAAACTGCTTTGACGTCATAAAAAATTGTATGTACATTAGTTCCATGCTGAGAAAGACAGCACAGCAAAATTATAGATAAACCATGAAAAGCTGGACAGAGAGAAACAATGTGGCATTTTATTTCCTCGAGTCCCTTTAGTGCTTAGCTCTGACTTCCTTCCAGATTGACCATTCTTATAATGGTCTATGCCTTGTGTCTGTGTTTCAGTCTTAGTTATATGAAGAGTTTGCCCAAAATCTGATTCCGTGCATATAAGAAACATAAAAGCACATCATGTTGCATTTCTGTACTACTGTTTGAATTTCCTGGGAAACTTCATGAAAGTCATTGTTAAAAGTCCCCCCATTTCCCTTCCTTATTTCACCCCAGTGATTTTGCCGGTATTAGTAAAGGGGAAGAAATGTTTAGAAATTAATGCATTCAAACCACCATGTACAGGACACCATTTTGGCCTTTTAGATGGTTAATTTTAAAAGTAATCCTGACAGGCAGTAAAAATTTGTGCAGGTTTTGGAGGAATAATCTGCCTCACATCTACCAGTGGAATCATCAGGTCCTAGGGATGTGAATGCTTAGTCTACTAGACTGTACATGCCCTTCCTTATCTTTCTTCAGTAATTACCGCTTAAAGGAGCCGATCATATATGTGGGCCCTGGAACCTGTCTGCTTTGGTTCAAATCTCAGCTATGCCCCTTGCTAGCTGTGTGACCTAGGGCAAGGTACTAAACTTCCTTATCTGGAAAATGTAGATAATGATATTAGCTACCCAGTGTATTAGGGTTATTGTGAAGATTGAATAAATCCATACATGAATGACATTTAGAATAGTAACTGACATGTAGTAAGCATTCAATCAGGGTTGTATATTATTATTATTATTATTATTACTACTCCTAATCTTTTTCCTCTGACTATTTATTCTTATTATAAAACCATATGCATGTGGAAATGAGTGAGTGTGGTCTGGAGTTTAAGAATAAAATTTTAGCAATAAATTGATCAGCAGTCCAAAGATAATTTAATCAGTTTTATTAGTACAAACGTTTACAGTTGAAGGTTTAGTGTAAGTCACTGTTAAGATAAAAATTTGAATGTTTTCAGCATGCCCGGGGGACATATTGTCAGATAAATTTTCAAAATGGACTGTAGGTT